ATATATATATATATATATATATATATATATATATATATATATATATAGCCCTTTTTCATAGCCATCTTTGTGAAGAGAAACCGTCCATCATTAAACAGGGGCAGAGGCCTCCATGTCCAACTGTCCCCCTCTTACAATGCTGTTATTGCTAGTATCACTCAGCCCCCTGTGAATAGCAAGCAGCCATCAGAGCACTAACAATCAGTCGTTAAGCTGATAGTCTGCCTTTATCATGTGAACAGATACAATTTTCAGTCAGGTTTCTGGACAGTTTTTCTTTTGTCTGTGCTGAAATGTTTCACCTTCCATCCAGAAGGCTTCATCAGTGAAGGAAACACACAACACAAAACTGATTCTTTCCCCAACAGCTTACTCCAAAGTGGAACAAACCAGTTATGTTGGTGCTAAGATGGTCACTTTTAACGCCCCCTCCTCTGGTGCCAGCCCTCTTCCTCGTCGACAGTCATGTCAAACTGGTTCAAAACCAACGAAGTCCATGCTCAATAATCCAGGTATACAATCCAACAGATTGAAAAGAAACTGTCCAGATGACCTGACTGAAAATTGTTGGGATTGTATACCTGGATTATTAAGCACGGACTTTGTTGACGTGAACAGCTAGTTTCGGCTGTCTGCAGTAAGCTGATGACAAGACTGAGTAAGTAGCAGCTTCTCAGACAAAATCTTTTGGATACGACTAAAAATAAAAAAAAAATGTATTTATCTATCCAGAGGACCTGACTTTTAACTTTGTTAGATAAAAGCAACTGTTCAAAATACAAATCATAAAACATTCTTATTCATAAAAAAAGTTTATTATAGATGTTCAGACGTCTTATACATAAAGTTAATATGTACAGAAAAAAATAACAATCAACGTATTTACATAGGAATCTTGGACTATGTCAAATGTCAGTGCATTTGTTTGGACTTGATTAACATTTAAAATCCCACAGCCTTGTTATTATTACAAAATTATTATTACTTAGATTCCAGTAATTACTGACAGTAACAAAAAAAAAGTACACAAAAATAACAGAATGCTTCACTGACAAAACAGGTCATTACATTATTTTCAGCATACTCAACTGCAAAGTTTACCGAGCAAATATATTAACTCCCTTATTCCTAACACATTGGTGATAAGATGCTCCAGACATTTATAAAAAGGGAAACTGCAGACTGGGCTTAACGTTCAAGTCAAGAGTTCTGTGTGCATTTCTATACTTCATCTTGGTTGACTGCACAACATAAAAACAAAGCATTCCACAAATTAAAAGACACATGGACACCCTTGTTACAAGGGAAGTACTAAGAAACTTTACAAGTCTTCTAAATGGCCAAATGTCCTGCAATGGCTAAAGCGATACATACAGTGGTCCAACAACCACTTTGTTCAAGCTTCATGAGGATCAAGCAGATGGAAACTGATGACGGAGGCTAGACTGCAGTAAAAAAGTACAGACTTTTTTCTTTTTTTTTTAATTTAGCATAACTAGGCATATTGATTTTGGGGAGTGTGTCAACATGTTTGAGGCAAAACCAAAATAAATCTCTCCGCAAAATCTCATGTAAAATAATATTTGCATCAAGTTGTACTTATCTGCAACATTTCTAACCAAGTGAATGTTCCCAAGCCACCAATATTAAGCTTATTTATTAATTTGGCTGTCTGCACATCCTAAAATAAGTTTAGAACCTTCTGTAGCAGGCAACCTGCAGCAGACCAGGGATAACCTATACTGACCCTTGTTTTGTACGTACAGTAGTTTTCGCTGCAGAGATACATCAATCTCATTCGTTTTTCAACTTTTTGGAGCAATAAATATCAAAGTGAAAGTAAAGTAACTGCAGTATATGTTATATATGGTTGATGGAGGGGAAAAGTTATGGAAAATTGACAGATTCTGAACAAGGACTGCTTCCCCTTTTTTAAAAGTTTCCCTCTTGTACAATTAGAAATATGGCTCCCTCTGCTGGTCATGCGTTTGATAACACCCCGTCTACATCTCATCGGAGCGGTGCTGCTGTAAAATGACAGACGGAGGACTTCGGTCTATCCAGTTTTCCTTGGATCCTGGGACCTCGTATGCCACTACAGCCTCCATGGGTCCTTCTTGTAGGGGCCCTACACTGCCAGGGGGCCCTGGCTTCATTTCAGCTGCTTGAGAGGGACTGGGGAAGTCTGCCGAGGAGTTGCTGTTGACGCCTGTCTCGGAGTCGGCCTGCTCCACCCTCTGGTAATCAGGGGTGTGATTATTCTGACCTCCTGCAAAAATGGCGTTGGGGTTTTCCACTGCCTGGGGCACCAAAACCAGAGGTTCGTCCTCAGACTTGAGGTGAATTGCGGCATCCGGGCTTTCTGAGGGCAGCGAGCGCAGGTTCCGGGAATAGACTGCAACAGTGAGAGAAATGGTTTGCTAACGTTAGCTGCATTATAAAGAAAAAAAAAAGAATAGAAGAGATGCAGCAAAACTGTTGTGGGCATAAACTAACAATATTTATTTTTTTCTGTTTTAGCACAACTTACTGGATGAAGGTGTGTAGAGTTCATTCTGTTTGGAGTTTCCACCAAATGGATTAACTGAGGGGAAGATGATAAGACAGAAAGAAAGCAGGAACACCTAGAAGACAAACCAAAATAGAGCATGAGAAAGAGAGCAGCAAACTAGTCAACCTTCTGTCTCGAGTTCAAAAAATAGAAACAAATGAGATGAGATAATTTACCATGATGCAAGTGCTGCTTGTGCTGGCCTTCATAGTTGACATCTTCACCAAAGCCTGAAGTTTCCTCAGCTGCTCGATCAGTGATCTTTAAGAACAAAGGGAACACATTCAGATGCCCAACGCTCCACTTTATTTACAGGGATAATCACATAGAAATAAAGAAGGGATGTACAAGACTCCTTACATGTTCTGTTTCTGAAGCATCTGGACTTTTTTCTGAAGTTCCAGGTTGTGTGCAGTGCAAATGGCAACCCTGTTATATAACATTTTTAATGATTAGTTTTCTTTCGTAAACACATGAAGGCAAGTAAAGCAAAACATTTGAACTTAAGTCACTACTAAAATGATCCAGTCAGTCCTCACCTGTTTTCCAGTCCATCGACATACACTTTCTTCTTTTTGCGGCTCTCCTGAGCAGACTGCTTGTTGCGGATCTTCCTCCTGACCCTCTTCAAAGTTCTTTCCTCGGCCTGTTACACAAAGTAAACTCGGCTTTCACCACAATGCTGACATGACAGGTGAAGATGCGCATGAAACAACCTTGAACCTTGTAGTAAAAAAAGGAGAAATAAACATTAAAAAGGAAACAAAGAACTATAATTGCGATAAAATACAGAAAGATGACCCTGTTCACGAACGTTAAAAGCCTTACAGAATTACAGTGAAAGAATGAATTATGAATACATACATTATAATAATGCCTTCATAATTATAATTTTTTGGAGCTATACATGTTATTTTAGGTCTATTCTGCAATACAGATCAGGACAGTAAGAGATAAAGTAAATATGGGAAAATAAAATCCAAATTACCTTCGTCAGTGGCATCTGGGTGGGAATGGTAACACCTTCTTTTGCCAAAAGCCGCTTCTCTTCCTCAGTGAGAACAATTTCCTTAAACTGGAACTGGATGAAGGAAAAATGATGCATCAGTCACATTCTTATGGTCCAGTAATATAAAATATACAGTAGTATAGAATACTTTTATTGTCATTGCACCTAAATACAACAACATTTGGGAAAGTAACTACTTTAGGTTCAACTACATTAGGTTCAGTAGTGTTTTGGTATGTTAGCAAGTGAAACTGACTTGGTCTTCTTTGTCCAGCTCTGAATCCTGAGCAGAGTTTTCTATGGCCAGAGTGTAGGGCAGCTCGCTGGTGACGTCCTCCTCCATTTCTTCACTCACCAGGTCATCTGTTACATCAAATTGCTCTTTTGAAATAAACTTAATCTGATTCTGATCTTCTAGGTTAACATGCAGTCACATTCTTAGAAGTTTACCAACACATACCCAAATCAATGAAGACATCCATATCTGGCTTCTCGGCCCGCACGCTCTCCAGCACGTCCATGTCCCTGGCTCCGCTCTGCAGCAGGGAGTAGCTGTGATCTGCATGGACCGTAAAGCTCTCGAGGGACTCCGTTTGCAGCTCTGCTGAGGTAGAAGCAGGATCTGAATACACCGGGCTAGGGTGAGAAAAGGAAGGGCTGGGCACAACATCACTTTCACTGCCGTGAGGACTCGGGCACCCCAGAACGTTGTTGTTTCCAGCCCCCGTGCTGCTGTCGTCAGAAATGCCACTGTCACTCCCCACTGGAGAGTGAGAAGGACAGAAGGCCTTCATGTTATCCTCTACATCTAACAAGCTGGACAGAAAATCTTCAGTGTCCAAACCCGTCAGCATCTGAAAGACAAAAAAAACAGTTGAAGTCTGTCGCGCACAATTAATATTTAAATACTATTTTTAGACTACTAAAAATAGAGGTTGATGCAAAAGCTAAAAAGTACTTTTAATGAATAAAAATAAAATACTATAGTGCAAAAAATTTCTTATTTGGCAGCAGTCTAAACAGAAACATTCCAAATTTATTTTTTTTATCTTGGTAATTTAAGTCTTACATCTTGCTCAGACAACCAGGATTCAATGAGACCGTTCTCATCAGTGAAAAAGGGCTCAGTGGATCCATCCTCTCCATCGTGGAACAGCAGCCCTAACAGATCTGCTCCATCCATGTCTGGAAGGTCCTCAGTGACTGACGTCTGAGACAAAACAGCAAACAAGCCACAAAAAAATGTTAGTTTGATTACACTAGCACCATGTTCATTTTACAACATTCTTGTGCTGCACAATAAAAACAACATTTTTGTTGATGCGATTTTATTATGGCAAAGACTTTCTGCAGTTTAGAAATTATATTTTACAACAGCTCATTTGATTGTTAGGTATTTATTAGAAATATACATTTAAAAAGTGTGCTTGGTGAAGTTTGCAATTTTATAGAGAGGCAGAGTTTGGACCATTTGATCCATCCATCCATTATCTTTTACCCGCTTCTTCCATTTTGGGTCACGGGGGTTGCCGGGGCCCATGTCTGGCTATCGCAGTGCGAGGGGCGGGGTACACCCTGGACAGGGCACAAGTCCATCACAGGGACACAGAGACAAACAACCATTCACTGTCTCACTCACACCTAGGGACAATTTAGAGTTACCAATCAGCCTAACATGCATGTTTTTGGTCTGTGGGAGGAAACCGGAGTACCCGGAGAAAACCGACGCATGCACGGAGAGAACATGCAAACTCAACCCAGAAAGGCCCCTGAACTGGGATTTGAACCGGGGACCTGCGCGTTGAGAGGCAGAAGCTCTACCAGTTGCGCCACAGCAGTTATTTCTAAAAATGATACTGCTGAAATTGATCGCAAATAAAACATTAATAGTTATTGTTATTTTTATTCAGTCGTTTTCTTGACGCAATTGTATGTGCTGGAATTATGCGATTGGTCCACCTTGTCAAAACAATGAATCCCTTGTTGTTTGGTTGACAGTCCCGAATGTCTCAATCATCTTACTTTAGATTGGACATGGCATGTGTGTGCATTTTGAAAGTAATATCATAGTTAGATGGTCACATTAAGGCACAGTTTCCCCCTGGTGTGGTATCACACTGCTTTCAGGGCAACTCATTGAAGAGACAAAGAGCTCCTCAGATTTGATGGTGTTAGGCTCCACGTGGCAGCGTAAAATTAGAATATGGAAAATTGTTGAAAATTTGACATTTTCTCCTTTAAAGTGTTTGGTTTTGCATCACCAGTAAGATTTCATCATGACCTCATCACCAGTAAGATTTCATCATGACCTCATCACCAGTAAGATTTCATCATGACCTCATCACCAGTAAGATTTCATCATGACCTCATCCTCTAATGAGCCCCGCCCCCACCAGCCAAGTGTCACGAGACCTTCACAACATCCGAATATCCAAACAAATAACACGTACAATCATTAGGTAATGAGTTCAATATGATGAAGTGAAAAGAATGTGAAAATACCAACGAGATGAGAATGGACGATGGATTTCTTGTATATTATGAAAGCTGGGTGTTTTACAAAAGAACAATCGGGTCTTTGTAACGTTAAACTGTTAAAATCTCCGCTAAAGAAGACACAAACAGCGCGATTCGTAAAAATACGGTCAAAAACTACAACTGCAAACGTGGCGTTAATGCTAGCAAACAACAAAAGCAGGAAACGTCTTGGATTAGCCGCAGACTCGACTGCTTGTGACAAATATCAACATTTTTTGAGGGCGTGGTCCCTAGTAGTATTAAAGAAACGTTGATAAATGTCTATAAGAGCTCCAAGTGTATTTTCTCACCATTTGGTGACAGAAGACAATATCCGTCCAGGCGTCTCCCGGTTTCACAACTCAGCTATTTTCTTCTAAGACCGTCTGCAGTTCGAGCACTTCCTACCGAAATCACCTTCCAACAAGGCAAAAAATGCGTCATCACGCAAAGGCGGAAATGAGTGCAGATTACGTGACCTTCTTGTGTAATTCTGGGAAATGTAGTAGAATGCGGATGAATATGTAAAAAACATTATTTATTTATTATTTTTAAAAAATGAATAAAACATGTAATTACAATTTTATTTAGTTCAAACAAATTTAGTGCAAAATAGCATTAATCTGTATTAATTTTTATATTTGCTGTAGAAAATTAAACAGCTTTGTAAAAAACAGATTTTTACATGCCAGTGAATGCAGCATATATTTAATGTCTTTAATGACAAGACGGGATAAGCAGTTGTCTAATTGTAAAGTATAAACAATCCTCAATCATAAATGCAATTACAAAGTGTACATGAATAAAACTATTATCAACCTTAATTATTTAATGAGCAAAGACTACTTGAGTTTCTCATTTAAATTTATTTCAGGCTGCACATTAGTGTAGATATAGCATAAACTGAAATTCAGTGTTACTTTTGTTTCAGCAAAACCTGAACACACACACACACACA